TATTAGGTTCAAATTCTGCTTCAGACACAAGCTGGGGTAATTTTGGCAAGTCACTTAATGTGTCTTAGCTTCAGTTCCTCCACTCTAAAATAAGGAGGTTTAACTCAGCCTTTATGAGGTCCCTTCTTGCTCTGCTTTACCTGGTCTTTCTTTATCTGATATTTCATTAGCTGCCAGGATTCAGAAAATTGTTCAAATTTCAAATTTGCCATTGCTTATTCTTCATCCTTCCCACCTCTTTTTATAGTGAGCTAGTTTTTTTCCTTCAGTATGTTGGATGTGTGGCATTGTATGGGAGCAAAAAATGAAACACTAATGAATTCTAGTTTGTCATATGCAGGCTCATGTAACTGACCTTACACACCCTTCAAAATAAGGAAGTTGCTGGCTCAGAGTTAAATGCTGCAATTCATAGCTGTCATCATTAAAAAAAACCACTTTTTAAGTGTCTAATTGGACATAGTGCATGTGATCTTTTAAGAAAACTATATAGACCTAGTTCATGTGTATTCACGTGGACATAAAGGGCAAATAGCTAGCAAATTAAAATATTAAACTGATATGTATAGCCACACAAGTACTTACATCATATACTGTAGAATTAGGTGTGGGAGGGAAGAAACAAATGTGAGAACTTCAGAGTGGGGCAGAGATTTGGGAAGTTATCAGAGAAGTTTTTGGTCTAGACTAGGCAGGGGCAGGTCATTTTTCTGCTGTACCTCAAAGTCTTTGGTTTAAAGGGAACAGCAAATTTGAAAGACTGGGGGCTTTGAAGTCAGAGGACCAGGGTTCAAATTTTACCTCTGTGTGACAGTAGGCAAGTCATTTAATTTCTTGTGCCTGAGTTTCTTCAACTGGAAAATGAGGGTGTTAGCCAGTGTAACTGTTAAGGTCCCTTATAGCTCTATATCTATGATCTTGTTTAAGTACAAGAAACTGATGGGGGAGGAGGAGTAGAATAGGAAGAGGTTTTGGGGGGGGCTTGTTTTGAATTTTTCTGTTTCACCTAACTTTCAACAAAAATCTGAAATCTTGGGGCAGCTAGGTGGCACAGTGGATAGAGCACTGGCCTTGAAGTCAGGAGGACCTGAGTTTAAATCTGGCCTCAGACCAAACACTTGACATGTACTAGCTGTGTGACCCTGGGCAAGTCACTTAACCCCAACTGCCTAAAAGTAAAAAAATAAAAAAATCTGAAATCTTTCTAAAATTGTCAGCCTACATTGTGTGCCCATCAAGGAGGGTTACACAGCTAAGTGGTTCTTTGAGTTGGCATTTTTCCTGTGTATGGTTAATAGGCTTCTTTGGGTGTGCCTTAAGAGATAGTTGGGTGAATGTTTGAGCATAGCTTCTTTTCTCTCTCTCTCTTTTTCCTTTTTGGCTCCTGTTGACTCTGGATAAACCACACTGAATGGCAAGGATGTTTTTTGATGTGGTCAGGAAGCAGTGATACAGTATATACGACAATACATGTTACTAAATATTCAGAAGAATGTTGTTTTGCCTGACATTCTAGAATGTAAGCCTCTTGGTTAGCTTAGCTGTATAGTTTAGCAGTTATGCATGGTATAATATGAAACTGGAGAACTGATGTATGGCTGGCTGTGAACTCTGTGGTAAGTGAGAATAGATTGGAGATTGGTGTTAGTAAGCATTCATTTGAAATATTTGGGAGGAGTCCCTTAGTTTTTCTTATGGTCACTGACATGCTGCTTATGTTATTGTGAAATCATTACTGTGCCACATAGACTCTTCACATTCTCTCAGATCACGTGCAAAGAAGCTGACACTGCTTTTAGTAAAGTTATTTGTATCTTTTATTTCCAACTTTGCTTCTAACTTGGATCTTAAAATAATGATCCTCATTTAACTTAGAAAACTCATTTCAGCAATTTATATTATACAAAATAAAAGCTTTTGTATCTATCTTTGTGGAGTTACTGCCCTTTTTTCTTTAGTCCTGGCCTCATAATGTAGGGAGTTCCCTGTTGTGGAAGAGACTTCCACCATTGCAGATCAGTAAAGCTTTATAATTTATGGTTTTTGAGACCATACTACCTGGAGCGTTGAGTGGTTAAGTGACTTGCCCGTGCTCATCCAGCTAATATACGTCAGAAGCAGGAGTTGAACCCAATTCTTAGTGATTTCAAGACCAATCTGTTGACTGTACCATGCTGTTTTTCATAGGCTCATATATCTGAGGTGTTTTCTTCTTAATAAAAAACAAAAACAAAAACAAAAACAAAACAGAAAAAGGCAGAAAGCTTACACTCTGTTAGTGAGACATTACCAGCTGAAATTATTTGCTCCTTTAAATTCAGTGGAGATGAAAAAAAAATATTGTTAGCCTAGGATATTGATGACTTTGGCAAAATTTGTAGCATCCAAGACAGTTGTAGAAGACATGGTTTTTGCTGGATCCCACTGAACAGTGGGTACGTTTACTCTCAGAGTGGAAAGGCAGGCCAAAGAAATCCTTTAAAAGGTTGGCTTTTCTTTATCAACTAAAATGAACTTGAGGATGATTTCAAGTAGGACAACATTAGGGACACATTCTACTGGCAGCTTTTGCTTCTTTCCACTGTGTTAAAAAAGTTGAAAAAATTTTTCTTAATTTTTATATTGATTTTTGAAGTACTTCAGTTCTATCTTTGCAAGGTGTTAATTATTGTTTAGAAAATGAAAATATTTGGATTATGTGTGATTATTTTAATACTTATGAAATTTCCCTTTAATTTCTTGAAGTTTTTGTTATTATCGAGCCAAAAGAAGTTTCTTTGCAAAATTCAGGTATGTTCCCTTCTGTGCGTGTGTATTTTGGTCCTGCTTCATCAACTCTGTCTCCTCCCTCATTTTTCTGTTGAATATCTTTCCCCATGGTTGACTGGAGATCAAAGGTGAAATGTTATTTCTGGGTCACTGCTTTGCATCTGATAATTTTGTCTTTTGGTTTGTTGTGTTGAGGAGTTGAGGCATTGAGGCGGGAGAAGAGAAGAGAAGGGACCAGCTGAAATCAAGCCATGCAGCAGTTTCCTCTTACTGTTCTCTAATTGTAAATGCTTTCCAGGCTACAGTACCTGTGGAATTCCTCAAATGCACATTTCCAAATGCATTTGTAAATGCATTACATCCACACTCAGCAAAAGGCAGTTAAATTATATGTGGAAGTTAATGATCGTTTGCTTGAGACTCCTATAAGGGGCTACTGCTGAGACTATAAGGGCCAGTTGTGGAAGGAAGAGGAGGAGTTGGTATTCTATTTAAGATAAGGGTAATTGAATTCATATTTCTACCACATGGCTCAGGTCAGTAGAAAGTTATATTAGGATTTTACATTTATAATTTAGGGTTTGGCCTTTTTAGTTGTGGAATTTTTTTTGGTGTCTAGCTTTTTGAGAACTTGGTTTTGTGGTAGAATTCTTTCTACAGACTGAACAACTACTGCTTGGTGGAAATGGAAAAGGCAATCTAATCTTCTTTAAGCCCTTCTACCTCCAACCACCAAAAAATAAAAATAAAAATAAAAATAAAACTCACTTGAAAGAATTGTGTCAACCTCCTGTGCTGAATTAAGATTTGTTTGTTCTGCCACCAATGGATAGAAGAAAGGGAGATGTGTAATTGTGGTCCTTTTTATGGAGTATTTTATTTTTAATCTAAGCAAATATGGAAATTAAGATCTCCTTGCTTGTGGTTGCAGTAGGGATAACGTTTTAACCTTGACAGGGCTTTTTGCTCACAGTGGAAGCCTTCATAGTTCAAATGTAGACAATGGGGTTTCTAAGCATTTACAAGGAAATCACACAGTCCCTAAGCTATGGTGCTTTATTTGACTTATCATAGTTGTGTTTTTCATAGAAAGACATGGTTAGTCCCCAAATCCATATACAATTGTTGAGTTTTTGTTTCTGTGGTATATCTGTTGGGGCTGAGATTAGGCACTAAACAATGATTTAATTGTTAAAAATGATACCTTTTAATATGTATGTATCCACCCTCTCCTCCTCTACCTCATGAGCCACTGCCTGTGACAAAGATTTAAAGTAAGGGGGGGGAAAACTCATCTTTAATTTTGTCAGGTCACTTCTTAGTTTTATATCTTAATAGAGAGAAGGGAGAAATATCTGATTTTCATTAAAGGTTTACTTAATTTATATGACCATGGATTCAGAACTGGAAGTCCATTAAGTCCAACCCCTTTATTTTACAGATAGGAAACTGAACCTCAGAGAGGCAAAGTTCTTTGTTCAAGGCCATACGTGTAGTAAGTGACTAAGCCAGAATTTGAACCCAGATCTTTTGGCATAATATCCAGCACTGTTTCAACTGTACCATGCTGCCCTCCCCTCTCTCCCCCCCCTTTTTTTTTCTGAAGGATGTGACTGTCACTTAGATAATTTGGCTCTACTTTCAGTGACATCACCAATTAGCACCACACAGAGCAAGTTATTTTATCTCTGCATTTGCGCGTTCACGGGGACTAACAGACACTTTCTTATTTCACTGAATTATGAAAGGATGAACCACAAATAAAAAGAGCATGTGTTCCTTACATTATGGAGAAATGCAAAGATATTGTAGAAATGTAGTTAAATTGTAGAAACTTTATTTTGATTGTGAACTATTTCATTTATACCTCACTTTAGTCTAAATTTTAATAATAATTTAATTTTGAAATTTCTACTTTGTATAAAAAGTCAATACACAATCATGGTTGCACATTTCATGAGAGCATGTAAAGACCATTAGTTCTTTTTTGATGTAGAGGCAATACACCTGATAGATGCTAAGATTTTATTGCATCCCTTTTAGAATTTCTTATTTATAGTTGTACAGATTCTCATACTAAGTTGTATACTCTTTGCATTAAACCCTGGAATGCTATACAGCAAACCCTCATAAGAGAAAAAGAAATATGCTTTGTGAGTGGAAAGAACATTTGCTTTGAAGGTAAAGGATCTAAATTCAAATCCTGCCTCTGATTCTTATCCATTTTACAGATTAAAAGGAAGACTGAGATTCAGAATGCTGAAGTGATTTGCCCAAGGTCACACAGCTTACAATTGTCAGAGGCAGAATCTGAATTCAGGTCTTCTTAACAGCAAGTCCAGAGCCATACCATTTTCTCCTGTAAGTTGGCATTATCTTTCAAGTATGTATATAAATATAATATATATATATATATATATATATATACATACACACACATATATATAATATACATACATACATACATACACACATATATATATAGTGTATATGTGTGTGTATAAATAGTGGGCTGCTTTGTAACAAACCACATGAAAGAAGGACATGTGTGTCAGATGTAATTAATTAATCAACAAACATTTATTAAACACTGTGCTAGGCCCTGAGGGTACAAATGAACCAATCAACATTTCAATTGGCGGAGTTCAGAAGTGGTGAGGAATTCCTGCAGAGATTTGAGTACTGTCCTACATATCCATTGGCTATTCAAATTCTACTTGATTACCTCTGTGAGCTTAAAAGGGTTATCTCATTATAAAGACCCCCTTCCCCACATCAATTTTCTTTCTAATCTTATAGTATCTCCTGTTATTTATAAAGGCATGACCAAAGAATGTTGTAAACTATAATCATTATATGTGGCTATATATGGCGTGTCTCTAGCCAGGTTGAAGGATGTGGGTTTTCATGGCTTAAGTTATATAAGAAGGAACTGCAATGGGTTGGTTACATTCACTGTGCTGAAAGTTGGGATGTGAAATCCCCAATTCTGGAGTCACACGTATGTAACCTTGGTAAGTAGTCTACTTGGGACTCAGGTTCCTCAACTGTTAGATGAAGTGGTTGCACTAAATATCTTATGAAGTTCTTTCTAGCTCTAGATTGATGATGCTACAAAAAACGTTGGTATACTCACATAACAGCAAAACAAAGAGGATAAAAAATGTATATTGCCATGATTAGAACATGCAACCTGATGGGCAGCCCAATTAAGTCATATCTATCTTGGGCAAATACTTCAAGGTACTATGTAGAAAGAGAAATTGGAAAGCTTCTTGGTAAAATAGATTTCCTTAGTAGGCAGATGGGCTCTCTATCGCCAGAGGTCTTCATGCAAAGCCTTAATAATCACTTGGGGATGTTATAGAAGGAGTGAATTCCTGCCGGGTATGGTTGGATGAGGTTCTTTTCATTTATTTCGGAGGACATTGAAGATGTTGCCTGAATTGTCTTCTTTCCCCAACTCTCTTCCTACACCCTTCCTCCCCATATCCCCACCCCCAATAGTTGTATCTTGAAAATGAACTTTTCAAAATGGGTGAAAACTTCCGATGAAGCACAGATGGGGGCTGGGTTTAACATGTGGGAGAGATCTTGCACACCAGCCAAGTATACGTGGGATAATTTGATGGAGCCATGGAGCTGGGAAAACTAATGCCAATAAGTTTTTTAAGTTGACCAAGAATCATCAGTTAAATTTCTTTGTGCTTAGATAACTTATACTTGTTTCTTTATGATCAATTCCTGAATAGAGGAACAGAGAAGCTGCTGTAAGTGCTGATTCTCTGCAGTGGGAATACTAGATCAACATGAGAGAATAGAAAGGTCCTTATTAAAATGACTCAAAGTGAACATGATGGATAGGAAGGAGGAATAGGGCTGGGCAGGGAGCCCTTTCACATACCCTTCAGCTGAGTGCTGGCTGGCTCCATGCATTCCTAGTATGCTCTTTGCTAACACAGGAGAGCTTGTATGGTAGGTAGTTGGAAGGAAAAAAGAAGAAAGGAAACAGGGGAGCTCCCTGATTTATGTTTGGGTCATTCTTGATAATAGTGACAATTGAGGGTGGGAACAGAATTTCTTTCTTTCTGTGTCAATTCATGATGTAGGAAAATGTGACAGAAAAGAATTTTTTGGAAAAAATTCAGAAAAAGAGTTTAAAAATGAGGCAGGAAAGAATTTTTATAGGGTTTTGGGTGGTCCAGACCTGTTTATATTGGTGTGGAAATTTCCTTTATTGGAAATTCTTGTTCCTTACAATCTAGCCAGAGAAGACAATATATAGATATACAGGTATATTCCAAGCAGTTCAACTGTTACATACGTAGGGTCTTTGAGAGTTGCTTGGTGGCATTTTGAAGTAACTTGCTCATTCATAGAGCTAGTATGTGTTAGAGGCAAGACTTGAACCCAGTTCTATCCATCTGCATCTCCATAAATAAATTATATTCTAACTAATTAGCATTGCATTCTGTTCCACTTAACAAAAGAATTTGAGTGTCACCTGGGTTCAAATGTGACCTGTGATGCTTAATAGCTGTGTTGTTATAGTCCAGTCGTTTAACTCGGAGCTCAGTTTCCTCATCTGCATTCCCCCATGCAGTAGTAAAACTGATACCTAAAAGTCCCTCTTGAATAATCTAGCTGTTGCTTCCAATCCTTGCTCCACTCAGCAGTCAAAGTAATCTTCTTAAAGCACAATCTGATCATCATTTCCTACTCAGTGAACTCCAGTAGTTTCCTTCAATCTACCTATGGGATATAAAATCCTCTGATTTTTAAAGCCTTTCACAGCTTGGCCCCTGCTCACCTCTCTAGTCTTTTTTTACTTTATTTCCTTCTCCATCCTATTCTATCCAAAGACACTAGCCATCTTGCAGCGCCTACACAAGAACTGCTTTTTCATTGGCTGTTCCCACCCCGCCCCCGATTGATAGGGGAGCTCCTTGAAAGCAGGGATTGTTTTTGCCTTTCTTTGTATTGCCCCAATGCTTAGCACAGGTGCCTGGCACATAGCTAGCCCTTTATAGCTGCTTTTTGCCTTAAATTTCTTTCATCGCAGTTTTAGGATGCATTTATCTGCTTTAAAACAACACTACCACTTAGTAGCATTCTTGTAGGACTTTTGATATTTCAGATTAAAGACTAAATGTTTTGTTTTTGATTAGTCTCAGAGCTCCCATTTGAGATATTTTCTTCAAACCTGCAGGTTTGAAAAAAATGCAACACTTACTGTGTCACTAATCAGTAAGAAGGTACTTGAATGTAATGAGAGAACTTTTTTCTTTTTAAAGAAAACAAATCCAATGTTGTGTACTATCAGTTTTAAAGTGAACTATAAAAACTTTGTCAGCATTGCATCCTTATGATTATTTTAATATATAGATAAGACATGCAGATTTTATAACTTGTGTTTTACCTATTCATTCTTAAATCTTTCTGCCTCTGTGGTGAGTACCTTTTGGTGTGGAAAATTCTATCAGATCAGGTTTGTGTGTTGATTGGTTTTACTGACTTGCTTTTCCTTTTTTGTTTTATATAATAACAATATCATTATTTTAATTATTATTTTAAAAAAGGAGGGTTCCCTGGGAAGGAGAATGATATGAAAACAAGATTTAAAAATACAACAATCAAAAGAAACTGTTTCTGCCAGGTGGTCAGGTTAATAGATCACATTTATAGAGTAATTATAGAATTTAAATACTTTAACTCAAAGTAGCTCATTTCATTTTCATAACAGCCTTATAAAATAGGAAGTAGAAATATTAGTCCCATTTTGTGGATGGGGAAATAGATTCAGAAAGGTGAAACAGTCTTCTTGCTGAAGAATACTGTAGAACTGGATCAGTGTGTACGTATGTAGTCTCAAGCCAGGACTTCAACCCCACCTTCTGTATAAACAAATGTATATCTAACTACTTTCAGCGTTCTTGTGAATAAGGAAATGATCCATAAGCCTCTGTAGCCCTCAATTGGATTGTGTGGTAATTTGTAGGCAGGTAGTGTGGTCCAGTGGGTAAGGACACTCCTTGGCATCATGAAAACCCAGGCTTAATTCCTGCCTTGAATACCTACTGGCTGTGTGACCACAGGAAAGTCAATCCCTGTGAATCTTTTCTTTTTATGAATAAAAAAGCATTTTTTAAGTACCGTATTGACATGTCACCATTTCATCAACTCTGTTCCAAACTATAGGCATCCACTTTACTTCCAGTTCTTTGCTGTCACTATCAATACATTTGAATGTTATTTTTATCTTTGACCTTCATAGGGTCAAAGTATACAAAGTTTAGTTACTTTTATCACATAAGTGCAAATCCAGAACAGTTGGACTAATTCACAGTTTCATCAACAGTGTATTAGTGTTTCTGTTTTCCCATGGCTTCTCTATCAGGGATGTTGATTTTTATCATGTTTGCCAATTTGCAAGCTGTAAAGTGACACTTGAGCTCTTTTAATTTGCATTTCTCCTACTATTAATGATTTTAGAGCATGTCATGAATTTTAAGCTATTAGAATTCACAAGGCTGCTAAGTTAAGGGGAGGGAAGGGAACAAGCATTTCTTAAGTACCTACTGTGTGCCAAGCAATGTACCAAGTACTTTACAAATATCTTCTCAGTTGATTCAATACTTCTGTGTGGTAGGTACTCTTATTATCTCTACTTTATAGGAGACTGAGATACAGAAGTTCATTGACTTGACTAGGTTCACACAGCTAGTAAGCCACTTGAGGCTGGATTTGACAGAACTCAGGTCCTCCTGGTTCCAGACCCAGTACTCTATCCACTGTGCAGCCCAGCTTATTATCTAAGCTACAAAAAAACGGGGAGGGTTTTTTTTTAAACTAAAGAGGATTTTATTTTCTTGCTTTTGCTATTTGAGTTATTTTATTTCCATGTTTTCCAAAAATTCTCAGACCTGTGTTCAGTTTATTGGGAACCCTGTTTCAAAGAATACTAATAGTGAGACAAGGGGCGAAGGATTCATTGAATTCAGGAAAATAAAAACACTTTGGGGAAATGATATGTAGAATGATGTATATTTTAGAGGAACCAAAATGCATCAGGTTGTGAGTGAACACATTGTTTCAATGGAATAGGTTGCTTTTCTTGTTTTTTAGAAGAGAAAATAGACATAGTGTTCAAAGTCTGATCAGAGGGAAATCATGACCTGAGGTTCTGGTCAGAAGCAAAATTAGAACTCACAGTTCCTGAATTTTAGTCTTGTTCTGAACACTAGGCACAGTACCCTTAATTAATTAAATAATACCCTTTGTTATGTCGACTCTGAAAATTTATAAGCTCTTAAAAACTGAGATGTGACCCAAATGCCAGGCTTGTTATGGGAAGATAACCT